TGGTCATTATTGTCATTCCCATGCACAAGTGCAATTGGTTGTGCAATTTGCATGAGCGAATTTGGTTGCATTGGTTGCATAACTCGCGTAGGGGGCGTGGCAAATTGCAAAAGTTTATATCTCCTACAGTTTAACTTGGATAGTTGAGTTACTGTCAGCCTCTTCTATCGACGCATCAAAAATCATTTTTAAGCCTCTTTAGGGGCGTGGCATATCGAAAAATACCCTGTAATTTTCACATGTTGTGAGCATAAGAATTCAAATTTTGCATTTAGGTTACCGGTTGCTGGCTCTAAGAACTGGAGGAGTCTACGGCCACTAGGTGCGTGGCAATCAAAATTATAGTGCCCATATTGCGGCATTTATATGAGTCAGCCATCTATTTTTGTATTTGTACACATAAGTAGGCTTAAAAGACATTGATATCACGGAAGGAAACATTTTTATAAAATTAAAAAATAACTAAAATTTACAAAATGTGTGTGTGTGTGCGTGTGTGAGCTTGTGTGTGTGTGCGTGTGTCTTGTGTGAGTAGAAAGACGCGAAAAATGATTGAAATAGCTATTGCTCGAAGGGTTCAAGAATCTCACAGTCGAGCAGTCTCGACTAGAGCTTTTTTACTTGTTATTTATTTTTTACCTTTTTTATAATTTTACAAATTTTTATCACCGTCTCCTTCCACATAACAATAACATAACATAACAATAATCTTAAAAAATCTTGCAGACATATTTATGTGCTGTATTTTGATATTTTAATATTTATATTTTAAAAAGCTATATTAACTTAACTATATCTGAAGAGTAAAAAAAAAAAAAAACACGTAATCAACAGACCTAGGTAAATACCATATATACATTAATGATTATTATTATGTATCCTATTAAAATTTATAACATAACGTTATAAATATATTTATTTTTGGAAGATTATGAAGATACTTAGCAACTTGTTCATCCCGCATGACGAGTTATAAAATATATACATTATCTTATGTCTTTAGTCTTAAGTCTTAAGCTTAATGCTGTAATTATCTTATGTATATTTTTTGTTTTATTTGGAATATACGAAAGAGAGCAAATAAGCGATAGCGAAGAAGTTCGATGATCCCTATATGTTTACAGTAGTACAAATTGATGGCATGCTGGCGTTAGCATTGCACAGTTGTTGCGCCCATAGGTCAAAAAATGCATTCATTGCTCAATAGATCAAGGCCACCTAACTACAAATATGTCATAAAAATAAAAAGAAAGCTTAAAGATCTAAGCCTAGTTTTCTTGTTTTATGCCGAAACATCCACGTGTTGTCCACAGTAGCACAGTGTAGTGCCTTCCGGTATCACAGCTCAATATCAGGTTTTTGCAGCATTCAGTGAAAGTGATTATTAAACGTAGTGAGTATGACCAACACAAACAAATAATATTTTTTAACATTGGCCAGTCGAATCGGATATACTGTACTTTTATTTTATAATGTAACTAATATGCAAATAATTAAATGAACGAATATCTCAATACTTATCGCATAGTTTGTAATTTTTGTAGTCAATTTTTGTTTTTAATTATTAAACAAATTTTTATAATATTTTATACACAAATTTATAATAATTTATGATGCTTCTAGGTACGCAATTTTTACATCGTCCAATATTCATATATTTAATATGAGATCTGTCTCAATTTTAAGATTGAAAAAAAAAAAAAAAATTAAAAGCATTTTAAAATGTTGATTTTAAGAGTATGGGAAAATGGTTGTGAACAATGCCACTCACACTTGCTAGTTAAACATGCGAAGCGGCTGAGGATTGAAAACACAGCAAGAGAGTTGCAACACTTGCTTAGAGGCGGTTGGTTTCTTTTTTAATTCCAATTATTGAGTATGTTGGATAATATATTAAATATAATCTGAGTCCCCTTAAGATACAAATATAACAATCAACAAATACTTAATAAAATTTATAGCCTAATTCATCAGTTTTGTGAGTTCTTACAACTGTAGTACTAGGAAAATGTATCAATCGAACACAGTTTCAATATTAAATGAGGAATACTCAAATATACGAAAGTTTTTTAACAAATCGAATATATTTATAACGGGTGGAACCGGATTTTTGGGAAAGAGTAAGTAAAATTGATGAATGAAGAAGATACACTTGAATGTTTTTTCTTTAGTCTTAATAAACAAACTACTTGCATCGTGCCCTGCTTTAAATACAATATATTTGCTGGTACGTACTAAAAATAACGAAAGTGTAGATGCTCGATTGGATGAAATGTTTGCGGATCCGGTAAATATTATGTTTCTACTTAGAATTTATATTATTGATTAAACCAAACTAATTTCAGGTGTTTGAAAGCCTTAAACAAGTTTCTACAAAGTATACTTTGCACTTAAAAGCGATTGCAGGCGATTGGTAAATTGAAAATTAGTTTTATAAAACCTATTTATATATATTATATTTTTCATTTTAACCTACAGTCTGAAGCCTGGCTTGGGATTAAACAGTAATGATCGTCAATTATTAATAGACCACGTTGACGTTGTGTTTCACATGGCTGCGACTGTTCGATTTGATGAGAAACTGAAAAGCGCTGTTAAAATAAATGTTCACGGTACATATGATATAATGCAACTCTGCAAGGAAATGAAAAAGCTGAAAAGTGTTGTCCACGTATCCACGGCGTACACACATTGCCCTCGAAGAACGATTGAAGAAAAGTTATATTCGACCCAGAATAATCCCAAAAGTCTAATGCTAATGGCTGAGTATATACCCGATAAGCTCTTGGATTATGTAACATCCATGTAATTATATTATAAATTGAATAACGATACTAGTTTTATATTAATTCATATTTAAACTGATTCATACTTAGTCAATTTAATTTTGCTAAAATGACAATTGCCATTCGATAATTATATTTTTAAGTATCCTAACTAATCAATAAGGTAATAAAGTAATTTAAAAAATATTGTTCGATTGCAGTCTCCTGGGAAAATGGCCGAATACGTACACCTTTACAAAAGCCGTTGCTGAGGACGTCATTCGAGTTTACACTGGTATACTTCCTGTTGGCGTATTTCGTCCTGGTATTGGTATGCTTCTTCATTTATTTTTTTTTAAAACTGTGATCATTTCCAACTAAATACTGTTCATGATTTGATTTTTTCCTAGTAATATCGACTTATCAAGAACCAGTGAGTGGCTGGATAGATAACTTTTATGGGCCAACTGGAGCAATAGCCGGAGCAGGCACTGGGGTATGCTTTATGTTGTGTTATTATTCATTTTTAGCAATAAGAAATTAATGTACAAATATTCCCTTATAGTTGATACGCACATTACAGTGCAATCCAAAAGCCCTAGCGAACATGGTTCCAGTGGACTTCTGCGTAAACAGCATGATAGCTGCTTCATGGGATATATATGAAAGGCACAAGTAATGTTTTGTGAAACTAAATCGATCTTCATTGATTTATGTATCTATGATATTTTTACATTCAACAACTATCATCGTAGTGCTAAAAAATTTTTGGCAGATATACCGGTGTATAACTTTTGCACACCCAACGAGAATCAGTTAACTTGGGGCGAATTCACAACAAAGAATACAAAATATGGTCTAATGTACCCAACATCAAAAGCAATTTGGTATCTGTGCTATTCGAATGCCACTAACAAAGTATCCCATATGCTTTCAATATGTTTTCTCCATTATTTACCTGCGCTTTTCATTGACTTTCTTTGTTTGTGCATTGGAAAAGAGCCACGGTAAGTACAGATATGTGTATGTATGTCAATGTATAACTTTTTAATTGCGTGATATTTATTACATAAATTGCAGATTACTTAATACTTATAAGAAGATACATAAATTCATAAATGTGATTTCCCATTTCTCCACTCGTGATTGGGACTTTCATATTGATAATGTTCAGAGCCTTTGGAGTCGAATGTCGAGCATTGATAAGACCGAATTCTTCTTTGATATGCGCCAATTGGATTGGGATTTTTATCTTCAGCAATATTTTCGTGGCATACGCAAGTACTTGTTAAAAGATCCATTGGAAACCATACCAAAAGCATTAGTTAAATGGAATCGGTAAAAATGTTTCTAGTCACTTTTATTAGCTACCATGAAATATTAATATTTTTGCTTCACAGTTTGTATTGGCAGCATCAAATCCTTAAAGCTATCATTTACTTAATTCTAATGATTATAGTCTGGACGTTCTTGAAGAACTAAAAAAAGAGCATGAAGCATTAAAACCTATTTCTCAGCTGTTTTCACAGGAAGAAATTATGAAATTATTATGCAATTCGACAATAACCTTTGTTCGAAAACAATTAATATGATAGATGTATTGGATTTTATAAAGTATATATCTGGAATATGGGGGATCCAATAAAATATTTTATTATTAGCTACAATCTTGTTTGTAAATAACCCTGTGAATGAATACACTTGACTTTAATGGGGTTTAGTTGCGTATTGATCTTTATTCTTCTGAGCCTGGGTTTATATACCCAGACTCATGCATAATTTCAACCCTTAAATCAGCGTCTATTGCTGAGTGTGTAAGGCTCAGCAATGGTCTATTACATATTCTTATCTTATCGCTGAGGTTGTAAGGCTCAGCATTCGTCTCTTACATATCTGACTCTGGGGTTGCAAGGGTTGGTGTCCATTTGTCTATTTATAGAGTCTGTACAAGTGACCCTTATCTTTTCCCAGCGCACTACCTGCTAGTCGTAGAGTGCGTCGGAGGCATGTATTCGATCTTCGTATATTCATATGTTCATGCGTGAACACCTGTGTAAT